GTGCTGGGCGGGCGGGGGGGGGGGGGAGCGGGAGGGGGGGGGCGCCTGCCACTCCCCTGTCTGGACTGAGTAATAGGAACGGAAGAGGGTCTTCAGCTCAGTCCGGAAAAGGGGCTTCGGGGACTGCACTCGCCACACTGCCGCTTCCTGGGGCTGCTTACGCCGGAAGCTGGCTGAGATGTTGACAGGACAGATGTTGTCCAGAGTGCAGAAGAAGCTTGGGAAATCTGTGGTGAGTATGTTGGCGAAGGGGAAAAGCTTAGGGTCGGGGAAACCAAAGTAGGAAGAGTTGAGGTAGCCATGGACCAGGGAGACCACGGTGGGCTGGAAAGAGTCCTGAATGTCATCAATGGGTGGAGTAAAGCCTTCAAAGGTGATGTTGTTGCTGCTGTTGTCCAGGTGCAGGGGTGTGGCGATGACCACGATGTCGTAAAACTCAGAGCTGTTGCCCTTGTCACTCTCATACGCCACTTGGTACAGGGCTTTCCCTTCTAGCAGGAGAGAGAACATAAGCGTCCACTTATTCCTGGGCTTCTACCTACGTATACATTCCTTCCATCTGGGGCCCAGCAATGGGGGTGCAGTGAGAGTCTGTGTCAGGGGCAGCTCAGCTGTCCCTTCTTTCCATATTGATGCCCCTATTGGGTGAGCACTGGTTTGGATGTTAGAAGGCCCAGGTCCTTTTCTGGTTCTGTTGCTGACTGGCTGAGGTAATGATGCCACTCAATTTCTCAGTGGTCAGAGGGATAGTAGATATGTGGAGGAAGCTTCCTAGTGCTGACACGAACCACAACAGTGCCCTCTAGTGTTGGTGGGCCTTCCCTTCATTTTCTGAGAAATAACTTTCCAGTAGGAACCACTCTGGTTGAGGTACAGAAGAGGAAGGGGGAGGACTGGCTAAGAATGATAGAGGCATAACTCCTGTTTTGTTCACTCACCTGTAGCGTGCAGGGTCACAGAAGTCACTGTGGCATGAATCACACTGGCCTTGGCGAGCTTCAGCAAACCAGAACAAACCAGCTTGTTGCCCCCTTCCACGGACCACAGGTTGCCCTGAGCCCCAGCTAGTGACATGGCTCCTGGGAAAGGGAGGAAGGAAAGATCTTGGGCCTTTTTGCCAAGACAAGCCTCCTCCTAACCATGAGCACAGGCAACACACATAAAATACAACACGATTTAAAAAAAAAGAATGGGGTGGTGACAATAAGACCCTGCTTGTTCTGAGTATGTGGGCAGGGTGGATAGGCAGGCTGAGGGCTGCACACTCACCAGCAAAGGCAGGCATTGATGCTGACTGGCCATAGCTGGCCCGTAGGACAGCAGAGACAACATCATCAATAAAGCGCTGTGTGACCCCCACCTGGAGCAGGGACTCGGCCACTGAACGCTGGGTCATGTTGACAAAGGTGGCCTCCCCCAGTGAGTAGAGCAGTTCTTCTACGCCCGAGAAGGCATATCCATGAGCCTGGTACTTGTAGATCCTAGGAGACACATGTGACTGGAATCTTGTGCACAGAGGCTTTCAAGTGGACCACCCATCATGAAGTCCTGGAGGCCTGCCACTTTATCCCGTTGGCCTGTTCTGTGGCTATAGTGGGCTTGTCTGATCCTCCTTACTGGTGGCCAAGGACAGTGCAGTGATAAAGACAAATATTCTAGAATCCCAAAGGACCTTGCTTCCTAGTGTGGCTAGATGCCAATCATATCACACTTCCTGCCCAAGGTGCTGACATGTCTCTGGGCATTGGTGACTTTTTTTTTTTTTTTTTTTTTTTTTAACTAGCTGCTAGTCTATCCTGGCTTCAAGGACCAAGCTGGGCTTCATGGCAATAGCCTCATACTATTACGATTCCCCACTCTAGCTTGCTGTGGCAGCGTGCTCAGTCACTCAGAGCGCCTATCCTGTCCCTCTACTATTTCTTCCAGTCCCAGAACTAGCACAGGTGGGAGCTATCTGCTGATATATTCTGGACAAGCTTGTCATTGAACTGCTGCCTTTTCTGGGCTTGGTTTTCAAGTGGGCCACTAGACAGCAGTGTCCACAGGGTGGACAGGGATGTGGGCTGGAAGAAGACAGGGGTGTGGGGCTGGAAGAAGACAGGGGTGTGGGCTGGAAGGAGACAGGGGTGTGGGCTGGAAGGAGACAGGGGTGTGGGCTGGAAGAAGATTGGTAGAACTTCCTTCTACAACAGGAAATGGTCAGCATGGCAGGGCTACTTAAAACCAACAAGAGGGGAATTTATATGGAAGAAAAGAAGGGGCTGAATAT